ATAATATGAGACACGACCCATTGTCTATATTAGAACACTTCTCATTGGGTAACAAAGTCGTGATTTTTCATTTTTGTCAAAAAGTGTCTATAGTGTGGTGAATTATGGTTTAGGTTTTTTTAAATAAAATTTCAAAAATTTCAATGTATGTGGAAAATGTAGTTGATTACCAAAGGTTACAATTTTTATTTTGAAGACTGCATGGTCTAGGAAGTGTACATTTTTTTATGGGGCAAGTTTCCAAGGGCAGGTTTTCTAGGGGCGAGTTGACTGCCAAAGAATGTTTCCAAAGTGCGAGCCAGCGTGTTATTTGATCACAAGTGCGAGACATCACAAGTGTGAGCCATCGAGCCATGACGTCACGACAATAGATAGAGACGTTAGCCAGTTGTGCGAGGTATCGGCTGAGATTTGTGGAGTACAATTCAAAAAACAACTATAGGTCTAATAATGAATTATTGTGATGTTAAATAGTCTCTTATACACATCTAGATGTGTATAAGAGACAGGGGCTGAATTGGAGTACAAAGTCTAGGCCTAGAGTAGGATAAGGCTAGCGCGACATGCGGACGTTGGTACGAGTAGGTTAGTCTACAAACGTCGCCTAAAGTAATTGATTTTACCCAGCAGAACGAAAGAAGGAAACTCCGCTTTTCGGTCATCTTAGGCACTCGTTTTTTGACAAACAATGACCTTTCAGAGGTCAAATTGCTGTCAAGAATATGAATTTGCTGCTTCGCAGCAATTAATCAGATTTTCATGTTACAGTAATAGGAATTATTATTCTTTGTTTTTCTGGGCATGCAATGTGATTATGTAGTCAGTCAGTTTCTTTTTCTTACTTGTGACACTAATGACCAATAAACGTGAAAAAACATGTTGAAATAATAATTTCTAAATTATGGATCATTGTTAATAGAGTACTACAGTGTTATGTCACAACACCATGTGTTGTGTTGGAACCTACCAGGTACCCACTTGTACTCCTGGGTGGAGAGAGGCAGTAGTAGATAAAGTACCTTGCCCAAGGACACAAGAGATTTGCACAGAAAGAGTTTCGAACCCCTGACCTCGAGGTTGGGAGTCCAAGCCACAACCGATGCGCCAACCGCTTCTATAATATATATATAATGCGAGCTTTTTGTGTTTTTAGCACATTTTGATGGTAAAATATTAGACTTTAAAATGCTTATTCCAGAAAGCCTATGAAGTCATTCAGGCATAATGAACGGTAACTAACGTCCATTGACAACAGACAGCGCCACCTGGAGTCTTGACGACACGACTGTGGTACTCTATGGTGCAAGCTTTTGTAGGATATTGACCTTAATAATTAATGATTCTGCACACAGTATGATTGTAATGTCATGCAGATTAATTATTATTTAAAATACCTGCATTTGGCTGGAGGGTTCATCCCTTTAAGATTAGCTATTTGATGCTCAAGTTTGTCATCAGTAGGTTTACTGATCGTGATTAGCTACAATATCCTACATAAATATGCATTCATTCATGCCTTTTGAACATATAAACATCCTAAACATGCTGTCCTGTGATTGAACATGATTGTACACGCATAATAACTATGGTTAACGCCGGATGAAATACAAAATTCCTCAGATTGGTTATTAACATGCTAACCATTCTAATTGATTTATTCTCATGATGTGAACATGCTATACAAAACAATTTGGTAACTAGGTTATTATATAATATAAATTATAAACAATAATTTTAATAAACAAAAATTTAAGAGTTTATTTCTAGTAGAAGTAGGACAGTACATAATTTTCTACAAGTAAATTCATTTTTAAGAACTTCATGACTTACGGTATTTAAGAGCTAATGTATCAACATATGTAATTTTGCTTTGATGGTCTGTCTTTTTGATTTGTATTGTTACACAGTACCTCTTTTATTGTGGTGTAACTTGTGTTTCATTTTCGGACAGTATGTTCCTGTTTCTTGTATTTAGAAATTAAAATTAAACCTCATAATACGAAGAATAGCAGAATATGCTTCGTGATTTCAAAAGAATTGGTTTTGTTCTTTTAGTTACTTTCAGTAAAATGCACGATCTTGCTTTTTAGAGGTAATTACAGTAATATGTGAACAGATGTACTTGTTTTTTGCACAGTGTATCAAATTACCATGTTTCATTATAATATCTTGGAAAAAAATTATAAACATTAGATTCATCATATTAAAGAACATACAGAAATTCTAAGCAATATAACAAGGTAGAAAAATTCAATCTTGATTATCAAATGATCTTACGTAAAGTGTGTAAATGTTTACAGTAGGAGAACCCAGCTTTTATTAAGGGGACACCTCTATTAATATTCATCATACTAAAAAACAAAATTTCTAAGCAATTTGCAGGGTAGAAAAAAATTCAATATTTAAAATGGTATACCGTATCTTATGTAGAGTTTTGAATGTTTATAGTAGAACCCACATTTTATTAAGGGGACACTTATTAAGATTATTATTTTAAAAGAACATACAGAAATTTTAATCAGTTTTGCAGGGTAAAAAAGTGCAATCTTAATAATAACACAGTCGTTATCAAACGGATCTTAAGCTGGAGGTGTTGCAGTTGTTGAGTGATAGGGGAGATTGAATAAAGTGTTAGTGAACCAGCTGTCTTGTACATAGGCCAGTTGAAGAGAGTCTTTGCAACTGACAGGCAGGGTGTACAATCATGCATGCTCCCCTGCAAATTTTTTTTAGATGCTTGGGAATGCATTCTGTACCACTTTGAGTGAGTAGTCTTTTTACTACCAACAATCTGTTGAGTATTTTTTTTTTTAGTTTTTGGGAAGATATTCCAGTCTGAACAAATTGTCTGTGTTCGTGGGATACCATTGCTGGACAATGTAAAGTACCTCTAGCCAGAGGCTGTGTCTACATGTGCCTGCACCTTGAATTGTAATCGCACATGTTCAGTTAACCCAGACTCAGAGTCTATAATAATAATATAATTTATTTAAATATGTAATAATCATGTACACATGGTAATATAATAAAGAACTGTAATACTACCACTTGGTAGTGAGTGACTCATAATCTAAGGTATTTGAAATCAATTTAAAAGTATTGACAACAATACAATAGAAATCTTGTGAACTACAGATTACAGTACCTGATTCTGAATAGAAAGGTATGCTAATACTGAAATTATGAATAAAAGTCAGCGTTTGTTCTTAAATCCGAACACACTTCTGCAGGCAGAGAAAGTAAAGGGAACTAGGGAATATTTTACCATTGAATGGTCTCTAAAGGTGAGTTACATAATTTTGTAAGGTTGAGTATGAATGAGACTTGTGTAGTGTGGTTTGATAGAACATATCTAACAGTCTTCAATTTATTTTTAGAGACAAAGAAGCATACTTTATTCATAGTAAACTTCTATTTTGTGGTGAATTGTTTTCAAGTCAGAAAGTCTAAGGTATAATAAGTATTATTAATGTGTTTGATTTCTTGAGGTAAACTTGTGTTAGAGTCCTAAGACAGAAACCACTTCTAAGTAAGATCTGGATTAATGAACTTCATAAAACTTGGAAACATCATATGCTAATTCATTTGTGAAAACATGCAAACACTCTGAATTGTGGAAAAATGGGTTAGTTTCCTAGAGATTCTTACTTTCTCTTAGGAATGCGGGAGACCATATGGATTTGAGACTTAGGGCCTCTGCTAACATCATATTGTTAATGAATGTTATTATGTTGGTAGAGTTTTGTCGTCACTTTTGCATGTGTTTGTAACTGTCTGCAGGATGGTGAGCTAGGGCTAGGGCTGGGGCTAGCAACACTTTAGTCATGAGGTCAGAGCCCTAAAAAAAATCACATAGGTAGATGCCTGTCAACCATGATTATAAAAAAAAAAATCACTGTATTATTGTACTGTAGAACATCAAAACTGAAGATTTTTGTTCTCACACATTATAGCTACTATAAAAACCTGTGGGCTGTTTGGTTAAAAAGGACATTTAAAATATCAAAATTTTGTTTTTTCAGTTGTAAACAAACAAATTTGCATTCATAAGTGGGAATAGTGGCACCAGCCTTGCTCACATTGGTTCCGCTTGAGAACGGATAAAACATATTGTATAAAAACTATAGAAAATTAGTCTTCTAGAACATTTGATTCAAACTGAATTTGGTTGCTGGAACCTAGTTGGTCTGATCTTTGTGCTTACTTTTCATGTAAACTATAGAAAACCACTATCAATAAGTCTTAACCATCAGAACCACTGATAACTTTTATGGGCCATTTAGCCCTTTGACCCTGAAAGGGGGTGTATAAAGGCCTACTTGCCTAGGATCTCAAGTCACCCGTGAATCGTGAATAGAATCGTAACAGACTCTCAAAAATCTGGACTGCCTCTTGTACTCTCATGGGCATTAAGTAATATTATGAAAATATATCCTTTTTGATTATGTTCCTCTGTTTAAAAAAAAAGCTCTAGTAGCATTCTGTTATTATTATTATTATTATTATTAGTCTCATGGGAATATTGTTTAGTGTTTAGTTTTAGTGTTTAGTGTTTGTTGACAAAACTTAATATATGTTAGCTTCAGAGTAAAGCTTGTCACTGGCAATAACAAAATTGAAAGCTTTTAGTGCTAATTTTGAATAATTTACCATCAGCATCACCAAACAATATGATTTTGATCGTAGCCTTTAGCATGTTCTTAGATATAAGAAGCAAGCAGCCCAAGCGCAATAAATCAGCAAAAATTTATGTCAGTTTGTGCAATGTACACTGACAGGCAAGTACCGGTGTACAGAACGCAAGATGCATCGTCATAGAAACACATTAACTATGCAATCTACAGATAGTGTTTCAAGATTCTGTTCTTATTTATGGCACTTTACAATCAAATGTAATTACTGCTCTGTACGCCAGTATTAGAAAGTCATTATTGCAATGCCATAGTAACAGTTCTCGTAATAACCATGGTAACTTCATCTTATCAGAGCTCGCATTACTCAAATTTTTAGTTTGGCAAAGGAACATTGTCGCCATTATTTTCTCCATGTACTACAGCACTTGTTAATGGCCAGGTGGTAATTCCATCTTTTATAGTTTCATAGTGATTTAAAAATAATTATGACAATTTTTAACTAAACAAGGTGTTTTGTTTTGTTCACACTTTCGGTGTGACTAGCTTTTAATTTTTCAATTGAATTTAAGAATGTAAATGTAATTATAGATTTTGCAAATCAATGCTTCAGCTCTGAATGTGTCATTCAGTATAAAGTCAGAATATTAGTAAAATATAAATAGAAATATTGCAATAAATTATTAATAAAAATAGAGAAAGCTGATTTTTAGCCAAAAATGTATATTTAATGTGTGTACAGTAGATGGTGCATCAACTAGATATCTTTTTTTTGTTAATAAAAACAATATGAAAATCTAATCATAAACAAATCTTATCATCTCAATAGTTGCTTATTGAGTATCTTAATTGCTGAGGTAGTATCTGTTCATAAACCTATTACTGTATGTATGAGAAAGCTTACAGTAATGGGGATGTACATTAAAAATATCTTAGCATGTCCAGCCTTATAAATTTATTAAAGGATTTTCAGCCTGTTTTTTAATCAATGAATTTGATAGGTGTCTTTACCAACATTACACTGTCATTACCATTATTCTACTCAATTTAAATTTAAATTTCATTCACAAGGTCACATCCATATTACAGTGGTAGTATTAATGCGTAATAGTTTATGAAAATATGAATATGAAATGCAAGGCACAAAGAAAGCAATATTTTTACATGCTATAAACAAAAAAATACTATGAATAAAATTTCATATTGCAGAGGTATTTCCCACTGGATACCATTCCGGTATTTCTATATATCTAGGTATCGGGGGCCCGAATACTGATTACTCCTGTAAGTAAGTATTATAAAATTATTACAAGAAGCAATCCATTTAACAAAATGCCAAATTTAACCTTTACAACACAAGGATAAAATTATATTTCATTGGATAATATCGCCTCATATTTTGTCTTTCAATTTCCTTAACATCTTTTGCTGATTGTTTCTCTCTGAGACAACTCAGTGTTTTCCAGAAACCAGATTTGTTGGCATTTTTGGCCCTCAAATATAGTTTCCTTACCAGATTTAAATAGAGATATTGAACAATGTTCAAAGCAAATAGACTTTCAATTGTAATAAGTAAGTAATATTTATTGCTTTCCATAAAAATAAAATCATTACAAAGAAGAGACAAAAATGATCAAAACATGGCAGCTAAAATAATTACAAAAGTAAGAAAATATGACTAACACCCGATTCACACGTACAAAAATCTTACCAAATGTAACAAAATGTAACCAAAAGTAACATTTTACGGCACGTGTGAAAGTACCTCCGTGTAATATCCTTGTAAAATCTCGGAACGTCTCGGTAATCTTTACCAGCCTCGCTGAGGCTGGTAACAAGGGTAATTCATTCATCATTGAGAAAAACTAGGCCTATCTATTTCTACTGTTTCACGGGGTTCTTTGAATTTTCTTCCTTCTGTATACGATTCTGATCCACTAGAAATAGATAGGCCTAGTTTTTCTCAATGATGAATGAATTACCCTTGTTAAAGAGCGGAAAGGCCTATGTCCAATATCCCCCAAAAAATTATTACAAAACGAGTAATTTTGTCGCTCCACATGTTTGTTAACATTTTAGCTTGTAGGCCTAGGACGTGAACAAAAGGACTGATCATTTTGAAAGTTTGCGCATGATACAATCTAGCGTTGCAGTGTTTTGAACTGGAGTTCACATTTCACCTGATAAATGCTTTTTGTGTTACAGCTACAAAGTGCACAGCCAAAATCAGTTATTTGCCAAAAGTAAGAAAATATGACTCAAGTACACAAACCCTGCAAAACTTAAACTGGAATAAACTTGAAGACCAACTGTATCGAAATGAGGCCATTACATTGTATAAGATATTCTATAATCAAGCACCACCATACTTAAACACATTATTTACCGCTAAGGAACAAAAATACCATACAAGATCTAATGATGTCTTGTCTTTGGAAAAACCCAAAACGGAGTACAAAAAGCGAAGTTTTTCGTATCGTGGAGCCAAATTATGGAGTAGTCTTGAAAGTGCAGTTCAAAATGCAACAAATGTTTATTTATTTAAACAGTTATTACCCAGTGGTGTAAGTTTTTGAATTTGTTTATGTTTACTTTTATAAAAATTGTTTAGTAAATGGTGTTAATCTTTTTAGTATTTTATCAATATCACAGCCTTGTAGAAGAACACCTTCGTGTGATACAAGCTTTTCCGTGTTTAAACAAAGCCTTTATTTTTATTATTGTATTATTATATTATATTATTATATCAAAGAAATGTAAACAAGCAGAAATACATTACAAAATCATAAAAACTTCATAAACTCACTCCATGCGCCCTTGAATAAATTAAACATGGAAAGTAGAGAATAAATCTTTAAGCATGAAGACTTGTTTCAGAATGGGTGCCGAACATGTAAAACAAAAATATATTTTTTGTGAATTCAAGTTGTTTTGTTTTGTATTGTTTTACTTTATTGCCGTTTTGGCTACCTTTCACGTTTGAACAGAAATCGAGTGGTCAGGCACCATGAGCTTCTCAGGCTACGCTACTAAGACCTCACATTGATAACATTTAAAACACAGGTGGGCAAAGTGCGGCCCACGAAAATGAATTACAAACCCTATGCGTACGGCCCGCCAACCAGCTTTGGCTAGAAAACACCTTGCTTTTTGCAGCCCAGCACCGATCATCTGTAAAAAGTAATAGTAAAACTGAGCATAAAGTGGCATAAAACAGTGTATGAAGGTTTTTGGAAGTGCACTGAAACATCAAAGTTTGGGTGCGGCCCTTGGAGTTGTATCAACAATTTTAATGCCCACCCCTGATTTAATACTTCACAAACATTCTGTGAATCCCCACACTGACATTGGTTCCAAGTTATGTTATTTGAAAGAACTTGCTTAGGTATAATTTAAGCAATTAAATATTGAAATTTCTTAAACCAACAGATGGCATTGGAAGGTGGTTTACTTTCTGTATAAGAAAAACCTTGGATTTAACCAGGGATTGAACCACTGACCCTAGGATTTAAGGGAGAGCTTTGGTAACAAGCCAACCACAACCACCCTTCATCAGTTCAAGGTTCTGTGGATGTAGAATCCTTCCCACTGTCTACACCGGATCCAATGCATTAGGGTTGTTGTCATTCATCTCACTTAAATGTCAATCAGCT